TGTGCCTTCTCTCAGTTTCTCTCTTTTCCTTTGTCAGCCTTACTAGAGGTTTGTCAACTTTGTTGATTTTTTTTTTTTTCAAAGAATCAGCTCTTTGTTGATGTTTAAAAATTATTTTTCCTATTTTTTTCTAAATTTAATTTGTTTCTGTTCTTTGTCATTTTCCTCCTCCTGCTTGCGTTGGGTTTATTTTGCTTTTTTCCCCTGGGTTCTGCAGATGTGAGTTTATATTGTTGATTTGACCCTTTTTATTTTTCTGTTGTGTGAGTTTATACTATAATTTTCTCTTTCAGCAGTGTTTTAAGCTGTCTCCCATAATTTTTGATGTTCTATCTTCATTTTTATTCAGTTCAGTATGTGTTTTGATTTCAGTTGAGACATTTTTTTTTTTTTGGTCTCATGGATTGTTTAGAAATATGTTGTGTAGTTTCCAAGTGTTTGGAGATTTTCCTGTGTCTTTCTATTAATGATTTCTAATTATATTTCATTGTGGTTTGAGAATATTGCCATATGATTTACATTCTTTGAAATGTGTTGGTTTGTTTTATTGCCCAAATTTGGTATATCTTAACTAAACTTCCACTTGAAAAGAATGTATTCTGCTGTTATTGAGTGGTTTTCTATACAGATCAATTTAGATATTTTGGTTGATATTTTTGTTGAATTCCTCTATATCATTGCTGATTTTCGGTCTTATTCTATTGTTTGTTGAGAGAGTCTCCAAATGTAATCGTGGATTTGTCTATTTCTCCTTTAACTTCTGTCAGTTTTTGCTCTCTCTGTTTTCTAGCTCTGTTGTTCGTTCGGTACATATGCATTTAGGATTACTATGTCTTCGTGGTAATTAGTAGATTAGCCTTTTATATAATTACATAATGTCATTCTCTGGTAATTTTCTTTGCTCTGATATTAATATAGCCACTTCTCCTGCCTTTTGATTAATTTTTGCATAATATATTTTATTTCATTTGTTTACTTTCAACCTGCTTATATCATACTTAAAGTGGGTTTCTTTAGAAAGCATATAGTTGGGTCATGTTTTTCTAATCTACTCTTCCACTCTCTTTTCACTGATACATTTAGACCATTTACATTTAATGTAATTTTTGATATGTGAGCACTTGATAAGTCCACTGTTTTATTTTTTGTTTTCTGTTCTTTCTTGTTTTGTTTCACTTAATGTTTTTCCTACTTTCCTATGAGTACTTGAATCTTTTTTAGGATTTCATTTTGATTTATCTGTAGTACTTTTTTAGTAGCTGTTCTAGATATTATATTGGCTGTATTATACATAGCTATCATAGTCTACAGTGTCAATGTTTTTGCCAGGTTGAGTGAGGTATAGAAGCTTTACCTCTCTCTGTGTCCCTTTACCCTCCCTTGTTTATAATTTTCTTAACATTTCCTTTGCATACATTTAGAATCACATCAGTTACAATGTTCACTCAACTGTCAAACATAATTTAGAAAACTCAGGAGAAAAAGCAAACTCTATTGTATTTACCTATTTTGTTACCTTTCTTTCTTTCTTTCTCATGTTCCGAGGTTCCCTCTTTTGTTTCTTTTCTCTTTTGAGAACTTCCTTTAGGAATTATTTTAGGGTAGATCTGCCCATGACAAATTCTTTCTCCTGGCAAGGATTTGTTTGGGTTTATATTGATTGAGGTTTGCTGAGTTTTTTGAACCTGTAGTTACATCTCTTCCCAAATTTGGAGAAATTTCAGCCATTATTTCATTCTGTACTTTTTCAGACTTGCCTCCTTTGTTCTCTCCTTCCTGGACCTGATGACACAGATGTTAAATGTTAAGTCCCGCACATTCCTGGGACTCTTCATTTTATCTCCATTTTCTCTCTGTTATTCATATTTGGTGATTTATATTGCTCTGTTTTCCATTTCACTGATTTCTTTGTCTATCCCCTCTTCTGCTCTTGAGCGCATCCTCTAACCTTTTCATTGCAATTGTATTTTTCAATTCTAAAACTTTTCATTTAATTCTTTTTTATGTCTTCTGTTTCCTTGTTGAGGTTTTCTACTTTTTCATTTATTTCAAACAAGTTCATAATTTCTTATTGAAGCATTTTTACCAAGACTACCTTAAAACCTTTTTCAGACACAATTTTAACATCTCTGTCATTTCAGGGTTAGCATCTATTGTTTTCTCTTTTTTTAAAATATAACTTGAAATCTGTACTTTGGTGTTTTTCACCAGTATCAAGTGGTTTTCAGCTGAAACCTGAACATTTTTATGTTATGCTGTGGGACTCTGGACTTATTTACACCTTCTGCCTTGCTTGGATTTCTCTCATAGCCAGTCTGGCAGGGGAAGTGAAGACACTGCCTCATTACTGCCAGGTGGAGGTAGAAATTCAGGTACCACTTGGCCTCCTTAAACACTTGGCATCTCCTTGTCACCCCTGGGATTAGGAGTTCCGGCTCTCCACGTGTTTTCATTGACACTGCAGGGAACAGGGAAGTGTGTTCATGACAGCCTAGCATGGGTGGAAGTCTAGGCTCCCACTCAACCTTTGTTGGCCAGGGTGGGGATGGGGCCACGTTTTTTTTCTGTGGTGTTTAGCTGGAGTAGAGTGATTATAGTCTAAAATTTTTCTGTCTTCCTAGGCTATCTTTCTGTTTTTCTTCATCCTTTAGCTACAGAGATCAGGCTTTTGTTGAGATTTTTTTTGTGTGTTCGTACCCTTTGGCATTTCCAGTTTATTTAGCCCCAACTCTAGGATATATAGACAGGAAGAAAACCCAGGGAACTCACCACATGTTGTTTCTTAGGTCTCAAGGTCTCTAGTTGATCTGTCGTCGTCTTTTTACCTTTTAAAGTCTTTTTATGTTTGTTGCGCGCACGCGCACACACACGTGTGTGTGTGCACGTGCTCGCTCTCTCTCTCTCTCTCTAGGGTTTTTATTTGTACTTAATGGGAAGAATAGGAAAAATTACATTTACTCCATGTTCCCAGAAGAAGTCAATCTCAATATTGACTCTCAAGAACATGCTGGACAAAGTAGCAGTATGTGAAATTAGATTACAGAAGCTGTACCTATTTTCATACAGAAACTTTGCTAATTGTAATTGAACCATGTACACCCATAAAACAAGCCATCTGTTTGGCAACATTGACCTTGAACATACTTGGGTTTTCTTCTGTCCTTATGGGAGTACAAAAGAAACAAAATAGGGTCTGTCGTGTATGATCTTCCAGCCTGATTGGGACAAAAAGACCATCATGTACAAAATAATCCGAGGGAAATGCTAAATTTCACTGCAATCCATAAAGGGATGGGGGAAATAAATATCAGTGAATATGATCAGATTATAAACTAAATAAGCTTCCTTCAGCCCTCTTAAGAGTAGTTTTATTATGTAGACTTGTCCAGTTTTATTTAGTATTTTGGTTGAAAACTACCAGGTGGCAGGCCATTGTGCTAAGGTCTATGATATAAGTATTAGTAAAATATACTTATTTTTTAGGAGCTTTAGTTGGAGCCAAGGGTGGGAAACAGATATAAAAAGGCAGCCCTGGCTGGTGTAGCTTAGTTGCTTAGAGTGTCGTTCTGCATACTGAAAGGTCTCAGGTTCAGTCCCCAGTCAAGGGCAGTACCTGGGTTGCAGGTTCGATCCTGGCCCCAGTTGGAGCATGTGCAGGAGGCAACCAATCGATGTGTCTTTCTACATCAATGTTTTTCTCTCTCTCAGTCCCCCCCCTTCCCTTCCACTCTAAAAACCAATGGAAAAGTAGCCTCAGGTGAGGATTAACAACAAAAAGAGTTGGCAAGAAGGCAGACCCTTAAAGTTATAACAGTGCAGTGTATGATACATGATATATTTATGGTAATGATGTTTGTACAGAAGACAAATTCTGCAAGTGTAGTCTTAATCAAGGGTCAAAAAAGGCATCTGCGGGTGACGTGTTTGGAGCATAACTAAAGAAATACAAAGAACTGGGGTGGAAAGAGCATCCCATGCAAAGGAACCCATGTAAGGGAGCTTGGCAGAGAGTGTAGGGCAGAGGATTATCATGAGGTTTCAGTGTAATAGGGTTTGTAACTTCATACATTTGCCAGTAATACAACTAATTATTTTTAAATGTTTAGATTTTAATTCACAATGTTCTTTGCTGTGATCCAAGTCCATGAATTTTTATTGCAATAAATTAACTTATGTCCAGGGGAAAATTTTTTTTTAAATCCTCACTTGAGGATATTTTTCTGTTTATCTTCAGATAGAGTGGGAGGGAGGGAGAGAGAAAGAAACATTGAGGTGAGAGGGACACATCGATTATTTGCCTCCAGCACAACCCCGACCAGGGCCAGGGACAAACCACAACGGAGGTACATGCCCTTGACTGGAATCGAACCTGTGATTCATAGGTCTGCAGGCTGACGCTCTAACTTCTGAGCCACACCGGCCAGGGCCAGAAAAAAATGTAAGGTATTTATAAATGTGCAAGGGTTAGTGGGATATATTCAGTAGATGTTAAATAGATTTCTAGTTCTTTATTGAAACACTTTGTTTACCTGTGTATACACCTTGATAAAAAAAAATTCCGGCATACTTGCATATAGTTGATAGAGAGCATTAAGAAGGAGCTCTTAAGGTTCTGTCCAACTAGTGTAGAGTTTATTTTACCTGATCTTAACTGTCCTTGAAAAAGAGATTACATCATCATTTTCTTTGGGAGCCCATTTTATTTTCATCTGTAGGTAGTTTTTTCACACATACCTGTATGCTGACTAGCGGAGGGAGACATGGTGCTTTATATGTGAACATGATGCTCGTCACCTATCTACTCTAGACTTTCCTTTTCAGATTTTACAGAACATGGTAACTTCTCTGGAAAGCTTAAGATTAAATAAAAATATTGTCTTGTGATTTTATTGAGCCAAACACAGCTAATATTTGGGACTCTGGGCTTAGAAGATTTTTAGAAAAAATAATGTTTTGATTATATGGGCCAAGAATTAATCTATTTTTATTTCTTGTTTCAGATGGAGTCTGGTGGTACAGTTTTGAGTACCAACTGGTCTGATGTAGGTAAAAGGAAAGTTGAAATCAATCCTCCTGATGATATGGAATGGAAAAAATACTAAATAAATTAATTTGCTATTACTGTATTGCATATACTCACCTAATGCCCATTGTGTATTAATAATTGCATTCTTAAATTTTGAACACTGAGTATCTTTTTCAAAGATTATACCTCTTACCTCTGTGCTTTAGAAATTATTTTCCTTCAAGTGTTCTAAGAATCTAATGAAGAATGAAGGTCATATTTTATCACTCTGTCCTTAAGGATTTTAGACATGCTGGAATGGATTTGCTACTAGATAGATTAGATCTACCTAGTTGTGGGAGAAGAGAAATTGTTCATGAGATATCTCAGATTATTGCCTTATTTTTGATGCAGTATTCTGCTAATAATTTGTCAGATTTGGCAACTTTGGGTGAGCATAGATTTTTCAACTTCAGTGTTAACATTGTTTGCTTTTAAAATCTGCTTTTGAATGGCATTGTAAATACAATTTTTTCTATGAAGTTTGGTTTATTTATCTTTTTCTTAAGTTTTTAATGAGAACTTTGAGAAATTATTTGTCACAGGGAATTCCCATTTGGTTCTTTTTATGGGAAGTATTTGTAATTGCACTGAGACTTTGATCCATACCTTCCAAATTTCTGTATAAAACACAGGCACCTGAGTTTAACATGCTGCAAATATAATTGTACTGAAGGCTGCCCTGTGAAGATTAGAGAAGAGAGTGATTTAGGAGAGCCCAGCTTCTTACTGCTTTTCTACAGCAGGGTTCCTGAAATTATAGCACTGGTGGTTTTGTTTTGTTTTCATAGGGTTTATATTTTTGTTACTAGAAAATCTCACATCCTGGTGATCAGATAGATCACTTTGGTTTCAGTGGTTTAGGGTAGCTGCTGAAAGAGTAAATTAATATGTACCTATTTAGTAACATTTTGTGGTAAGGCACTACTCTGCCTTCATAACTGAGGACAGGATAAAGGGGAAGCAAATCAGACATCATTTCAGCTTCCAAAAGAGTGGGAATTTAGCCTCTTCTAGTCATTCAGCATGAAATGTAGTAGAGTTTTTCATAAGGAATATGGTGGGGTGATACCAGACCATGCCCAAACCTGTTGTTATAGCTTGTTTAAGCATGGGTTGGGGAGGTTCACTTGTCCTTCTGCCCATTTAGATCTATAGGTTACATTTTTTTTTGTGTTCTTGAACACGGAAGGAAAAGGCAATATTAAATTCTTGATTGTGTGAATTTAAAAAAATTTTCTCCTTAGTTAAAAAATTAGTGAATTTTGCGTTTTCTGTGTTAAATTTTCTTAGTACCATTAGTCCTAAGGGGTAGGTAAGCCGTTGCTGCAGAGGTAGTATCAGGGAAGATTAGGGCACTACACCACAGACAAGAATCCTAGCTCCTACAAGTCTCTGCCACTAACTGGCTTTCTACAGGTTTAGCCGTTCTGTCTTAGTTCCTGTGTCTGTAAATAATCTATAGGGTCTTAGAGTTATAATTAGAAGTCCATGATTCTAAATATGGAAACATTTTTGCAACTTAAGAGTAACTTTTTTCTTCCTTAGGAATGACACTATTATAATAGATGTGTTTGGTTTTTAAATTAGTACTAGTTTTTCTTGTATTTTAAAGGATGCATTATATATAAAGTATGCTTATCTATTGGCAGGGTTTGTTTAGTGTTGTAGGATTCAGAATTTTGCTGAGCCAAATGAGTTCTTAATATACATGATGATATTACAAAATTATAAAATATATCTGATCTAAATATAATAGATTTATTGTAAAGAAGGGAATTTGAAATAGTTTAGACTGTTGTCCTAAAGTACTGCTTCAGCATTATACATAGTGAAAATTTGTAAGCCTCCATAAAGTTAAAAACTTCATTTTGATTAAGAACACCTTAACTTTATCCTTATTCTCTATTGTCTTAGCTTAACTATTATTAATTGGTCTCACTTTTTTTTCTAGACTCCCATTTTCAGTACTCAGATTTGGGTTCTCTTAGCACTCTTGCTCATTAACCTTTTGTTTCTTTGAAGTGTACATGTTTTTCACTTAGTATTTCTTCTTAAGCTTCAGTCCTAGAATCCTTTTTTTTTTTCTTAAATTCTCCATTCTCCTGATTTCTATAATTAGTTCACCTTGATGGCTTCCAGGATTTTTCCACTATCTTCAAAGAATCTTGAATGGGATAATCTTCTTCTTTGTATTTTGCTATCAAGTAATCTCTTAGGTTGCTGTAACATAGGTTTGAAACGTCAGGGTCAATTTTAAGAATTCTGTCTTACATACTAACCTATTTGGAGTTGGTTGCTAACTAATAAGTTCAGTCTTTAATACTGGCAATTACTGGTCACTTAAAAAAATCAGCTTTCTCCATCTTTGTATGGATTGAAGGGAAAGAATGGTTTGCATTAATAACTACAGTTGTTTTTTTAACATTTTCATTCCTTAGATTTGTGTTATTCACTAACTGCAGAACATTTAATTATTATTGTTAATATCTTCCTGACTTTGGGAGAGAAGAATTTCTTAGCAGGCTACTACTATATAGGACAAGGAAAAAAAAATTGTACTGTCCTATATAAATTTTCTAGATAAATTTCAATGAACATTAAAAATGGGGTATATGCCCTGGTCAGTTTGGCTCAGCGGTTAGAGCATCAGCCCGCAGATCAATGAGTTGTGGGTTCAATTCCGGTCGGGGGCATGTACCTTGGTTGCGGTTCATCCCTGGCCCTGGTTGGGATTGTGCAGGAGGCAACCAGTCGATGTGTTCCTCTCACATCGATGTTTCTCTTTCTCTTTTCCTCTTTCTCCCTTCCTCCCACTCTATCTAAAGATAAATAGAAAAATATTTTGGGTGAGGAAATAAATAAATAAATAAATAAATAAATAAATAAAATGGGGGTATGTTACTGTGGTAATGAATAGTTTAATTTTAATTTAGTCAAATGCTTTTATATTTGGTTGTCCTTTTCCATTTTACCTTTCTTCTTCCCTAGTTATTTACATTATCATTTTATGTCATTGATCTCTGAGTCACATCACTGACCCAGAGCAGCATTGCCTATTAACCATTTGATCTGTCCAGTGTGCCTTAATTCTATTGGGATCATCCTTGTCCAGATCAATGTGCATGTCTCTGACTTGTAGCTATTACTGACCTTTCCAAAAATAGGTAGAAAACTTCTGGGTGGTGTGCATGTGTGTTACAAGAGCTACATTTCTTTGTATCCGGTTCTAGAGACATTTACCTTTACATTCATACCTGATATTATCATCCCATAAGAATACAGGTTTTGGTTATCTCTGCATTGGAGGAACCAAGGAAAAACAATAATAAAAGCTAAAAGGACAAAATAATGGTTTCTGTGCCAGGAAGTCATGTATAGTTTTATTTTTTTTAAATAATTTTTTATTTTTCGGTTACAGCTGACATACAATATTATAGTAGTTTCAGGTGTACATCATAGAGATTAGACAGTTATATAACTTACAAAGCATCCCAATAAATCTAGTACCCATCTGGTACCATACATAATTATTAGAATATTAATGACTATATTCCCTATGCTGTACTTTACATCCTCATGAGGGTTTTTATAACTGGCAGTTAGCACATCTTAATCTCTTTCCCTTTTTAATAAGTGGGATCATCAACATTGATCTGGTTTTCTTTGTCTCCGGTTATGCATATTCTGTTGTAAGATCGTTTTACACACTCCAAGAGATTTTATTTAGGAACTGTCTGGGAAATTGAGGGCAAATTGAAGATACTAAATTATTATAAATTAATTATTATAAATTATTATTTGGAGTCATCCTTGTGATTGGCTTCTGAAATTAATTTAACTCTTAGCTTCTCGTCCTACCTCAGTAAACTTATCCCCCAAATCAGCTAAAATCATATGTATTGCTAACCCATTAGGGCAGTAACAGTGGTAGCTGACTAGAGCTTTTTATGGGCCAGGTGTCACTAAGTGCTTTATATACACTACCTCATTTATAAGAGTGTTGTAGAGTAATGCTAATAATGAATATTTTAAAAAATTGAGTGTTTTGTCCAAATCCATGCCATTGTAAAGTGAGGAGGAAGCTGAGATTGGAATCCAGGCCTGTCAGACTCCAGTCCAGTGCCCATGCATTTAACAACTGTGACTCCCACTGCAGACAAATGAGTTGGGTGTGCAGTAATTTCATGAATAAATCAACATTTGACAATGAAGCAGAGAATGTGCAAGTTGAATTGTTTAATTCTTCTTTAACATGGTGTGGAAAGGTCTGTTCTTAAAGATCAGAGTATTGTCTATTTCTTAAGTAGTAAAGTTTATTAGGAATACAAATCTTTTGCTCTTGCCTCAAGTAGTCCTGATTTGTGTTGAAAGTGCTGTTTTTCTCAAATACAGAAAATAAGTATAAGAAAACTGGCACATGATGCTGTTCAAGTTCCTTAAATGTGGGAGTGCTCACACTGGTTTTTATTGTACAAATAAATGCTAAGATTGTTTCAAGGATTTTTCCTAAATTCATGTATTAGGGTTAGTGTTTCACTGATTTCTTCAATAAATTTGGAATGATTCTGGTTTAGTCCCTTTGTTCCAATCATGTTATCATATATATATTCTGAATTTCAGCTTGTCTGAAATCTTCTAAATGTTACTTTTCTGTGCCTTCAAATTTGAAATTTTAAAAAAATACTTCCATTGATATTTTTTTTAGAGAGAGAAACATCAATGTGAGAGAGAAACATCGATCGGCTGCCTCCTACATGGTCCCTACTGGGGGTGCCCTGACCAGGAATCAAATTGGGACCTCTCAGTCCATGGGACAGTGCTCAATCTACTGAGCCACACTGGCCGGGCTCAAATTTGATTTTAATTCTTTTTTTTTTTTTTGGTATGTGCCCCTAGCGGGAACAAAACCCGGGACTCTGGTTCGCACCGCTGAGCCAAACAGGCCAGGGCTGATTTTAATTCTTAACTTTTCATTAAGACTTTTCATGTCAATCACATTGACTTTATTTTTTTCTTATATGATTTTGTTATACAAAAAAATGTTTTAAAAATAATACT